TTTTTTCCTTCCCCCCCCCCCCCCCCCCCCCCGCGCCTATTGCCGGCCCCTATCGCCCCTTACCTAATACACGACAGGTCGAGGCTGGCATCCATGCGTTGAGTAAAGGGAACCCTTTGCCCCCGCCGAGACACAAGAAGAAATCGTCGGAAGCGGATTGCGGCCATGCCGCTGGTACTGCTGCGGCAAGTGTCGGTGGTGTTGCGGCGCAGGCAGCAACTGCTCCGGCGAGCAACAGCGGCGGCCTTTCCAACAGTGTCGGGGCCCTGGCTCGCAATGTTGTAGGTGGAAGGGGGCACGAGGGGAGCGGGAGGACGGTGACGGCGGCGGGAGCGGCGGGGAAGAGTTATTCGCAACAGGTGCGAACAGGGGTACGTAGCAGGTTCCCAACCGGTTGGGGCCGGCGAGGCACTCATAGTAACAACACTGCTGCTACTGGCGCGTTGTGCACAAGTAGTTGCTGTGTGGCGGTAGCTGTCAGGGGTTTAGGACATTTTTTTTTTTTTTATCATTTTGTGAAGTCTCATCCCTATGCTGGTGCATAGCGTGCCAGCCGCATTGTGAGGAAGGCACCGGCCCGCGAATCCTTCTTGATGCCTGCCGCTCTCCAAACCTCGATGGACGCTTGGCATCCATTTTGGTCGATGTGTTATTGTTGTTGTTCTCACTTTTGTCCCAACCCTGGCTGCCCTGTGTATCCCGGCTCATCAATCTGTTACCCTACCCCAACCCTAACCCAAACCCTAACCCAGGTTCTTACCCCCCCGAAGGCCAAGCCAGTAGCAGCTCAACCGCAGCTAAACCCAAACTCGGTGGCTGCCAGACGACTAGCGTCTCGGAAGGGTTCGGCTTCTTCAAATAATACCGGGAGTAGAAATAGCTTGGTCCCGCCGCCGCCGCCGCCACCGCCTTCTGAGCAAAGGCCGGATGACCACGGCCGTGCCCCCGGCGGCAGCGGCGGCTCGCCAACGGGGTGGCCGGGAGCATCGACGGCGGCGGCGGCGGCGGCAGCGGCGGCGGCGGTTGGCAGCGGGGCTGGTGGCGGAGACGGTCATTTAGACCCGGATGGCTGGAGCAACTTCGCGGCCTTTGATCAGTTCCCGGAGGCGTTGGATTTGTCCACGTCAGGCCGACAGCAGGGTAGTAGTAATTTCGGGGCGGCACCGTTTGAGTCGCCGGTGGCGGCAGTTGGAGAGTCCCCGCTGGTGATGAACGTG